AAAAAAAAATTTGGGTGCAAATTTGTTAAAACGCTACAGTTTAATATTCATCCAGCCAGAGTAGTTGCACAGTAGAAGCTAAAAGCGCAGCCCTTGCAACTGCTCGCTCTAACGCCACTGCTGCCGGAAGGGCCTCCTTCACCAGAGGCAGCTCTGCAGTGCTCTTTCTAGAGGGAACTTTGGCCTACTCTTCACCCCACCATGAGCGACTTGCCGACCAACAGACTCAGCGTGGCACTCGCGTTTATACTCCAGGGCGGACGGAGGGCATGGAGATAGAACCGGTGGCCGCTGGATTGCGAAGTCACCATTGCACAGCAAACGCGCGTTTAAAACAACATTGGTTTTCAGAAGGAGATCTGTGACTAGCGACGAATGACGGCTCCACAAAGGTGGCGTATCAACGTCGCGTGGAAATTTATGACAGCACGCGAATACTCTGAACGCACGTTATTTCAAAACACGTGGATGGAACAAAATCAGAGGAACTGGACAAAAATCCACGTGACCACCACTGGGAGAGAGAGAGGGAGGCCCTGACCCCTGCAAATATACAGCAGCAGGCGTCAGGGTCTGGATCGAACCCACGACCTCCTGTATACCAGGCGAGGTAGTTAACATCTCCTAGCCACCGTGATGATGATGAGAGAGAGAGACACGCAAACTCCAAATATACAGCAGCAGGCGTCAGGGTCGGGATCGAACCCACGACCTCCTGTATACCAGGCGAGGTAGTTAACATCTCCTAGCCACCGTGATGATGATGAGAGAGAGAGAGACACGCAAACTCCAAATATACAGCAGCAGGCGTCAGGGTCGGGATCGAACCCACGACCTCCTGTACACCAGGCGAGGTAGTCAACATCTCCTAGCCACCGTGATGATGATGAGAGAGAGAGACACGCAAACTCCAAATATACAGCAGCAGGCGTCAGGGTCGGGATCGAACCCACGACCTCCTGTATACCAGGCGAGGTAGTTAACATCTCCTAGCCACCGTGATGATGATGAGAGAGAGAGAGACACGCAAACTCCAAATATACAGCAGCAGGCGTCAGGGTCGGGATCGAACCCACGACCTCCTGTACACCAGGCGAGGTAGTCAACATCTCCTAGCCACCGTGATGATGATGAGAGAGAGACACGCAAACTCCAAATATACAGCAGCAGGCGTCAGGGTCGGGATCGAACCCACGACCTCCTATATACCAGGCGAGGTAGTTAACTTCTCCTAGCCATCGTGATGATGATGAGAGAGAGAGACACGCAAACTCCAAATATACAGCAGCAGGCATCAGGGCCTGGATCGAACCCACGACCCCCTGTACACCAGGCGAGGTAGTTAACATCTCATAGCCACCGTGATGATGATGAGAGAGAGACACGCAAACTCCAAATATACAGCAGCAGGCGTCAGGGTCGGGATCGAACCCACGACCTCTTATATACCAGGCGAGGTAGTTAACATTCTCCTAGCCATCGTGATGATGATGAGAGAGAGAGAGACACGCAAACTCCAAATATACAGCAGCAGGCGTCAGGGTCAGGATCGAACCCACGATCCCCTGTACACCAGGCGAGGTAGTTAACATCTCATAGCCACCGTGATGATGATGAGAGAGAGAGACACGCAAACTCCAAATATACAGCAGCAGGCGTCAGGGTCGGGATCGAACCCACGACCTCCTGTACACCAGGCGAGGTAGTTAACATCTCCTAGCCACCGTGATGATGATGAGAGAGAGAGACACGCAAACTCCAAATATACAGCAGCAGGCATCAGGGTCGGGATCGAACCCACGACCTCCTGTATACCAGGCGAGGTAGTTAACATCTCCTAGCCATCGTGATGATGATGAGAGAGAGAGAGACACGCAAACTCCAAATATACAGCAGCAGGCGTCAGGGTCAGGATCGAACCCACGACCTCCTGTACACCAGGCGAGGTAGTCAACATCTCCTAGCCACCGTGATGATGATGAGAGAGAGAGACACGCAAACTCCAAATATACAGCAGCAGGCATCAGGGCCTGGATCGAACCCACGATCCCCTGTACACCAGGCGAGGTAGTCAACATCTCCTAGCCACCGTGATGATGATGAGAGAGAGAGACACGCAAACTCCAAATATACAGCAGCAGGCGTCAGGGTCAGGATCGAACCCACGACCTCCTGTATACCAGGCGAGGTAGTTAACATCTCCTAGCCACCGTGATGATGATGAGAGAGAGAGACACGCAAACTCCAAATATACAGCAGCAGGCGTCAGGGTCGGGATCGAACCCACGACCTCCTGTACACCAGGCGAGGTAGTCAACATCTCCTAGCCACCGTGATGATGATGAGAGAGAGAGACACGCAAACTCCAAATATACAGCAGCAGGCATCAGGGTCGGGATCGAACCCACGACCTCCTGTATACCAGGCGAGGTAGTTAACATCTCCTAGCCATCGTGATGATGATGAGAGAGAGAGAGACACGCAAACTCCAAATATACAGCAGCAGGCATCAGGGCCTGGATCGAACCCACAATCCCCTGTACATCAGGCGAGGTAGTTAACATCTCATAGCCACCGTGATGATGATGAGAGAGAGACACGCAAACTCCAAATATACAGCAGCAGGCGTCAGGGTCAGGATCGAACCCACGATCCCCTGTACACCAGGCGAGGTAGTTAACATCTCATAGCCACCGTGATGATGATGAGAGAGAGAGACACGCAAACTCCAAATATACAGCAGCAGGCGTCAGGGTCAGGATCGAACCCACGATCCCCTGTACACCAGGCGAGGTAGTTAACATCTCATAGCCACCGTGATGATGATGAGAGAGAGACACGCAAACTCCAAATATACAGCAGCAGGCGTCAGGGTCAGGATCGAACCCACGATCCCCTGTACACCAGGCGAGGTAGTTAACATCTCATAGCCACCGTGATGATGATGAGAGAGAGACACGCAAACTCCAAATATACAGCAGCAGGCGTCAGGGTCAGGATCGAACCCACGATCCCCTGTACACCAGGCGAGGTAGTTAACTTCTCCTAGCCATCGTGATGATGATGAGAGAGAGAGAGACACGCAAACTCCAAATATACAGCAGCAGGCATCAGGGCCTGGATCGAACCCACGATCCCCTGTACACCAGGCGAGGTAGTCAACATCTCCTAGCCACCGTGATGATGATGAGAGAGAGAGACACGCAAACTCCAAATATACAGCAGCAGGCGTCAGGGTCAGGATCGAACCCACGACCTCCTGTACACCAGGCGAGGTAGTCAACATCTCCTAGCCACCGTGATGATGATGAGAGAGAGAGACACGCAAACTCCAAATATACAGCAGCAGGCGTCAGGGTCGGGATCGAACCCACGACCTCCTGTATACCAGGCGAGGTAGTTAACTTCTCCTAGCCATCGTGATGATGATGAGAGAGAGAGAGACACGCAAACTCCAAATATACAGCAGCAGGCATCAGGGTCAGGATCGAACCCACGACCTCCTGTACACCAGGCGAGGTAGTCAACATCTCCTAGCCACCGTGATGATGATGAGAGAGAGAGACACGCAAACTAAAAATATACAGCAGCAGGCGTCAGGGTCAGGATCGAACCCACGATCCCCTGTACACCAGGCGAGGTAGTTAACATCTCATAGCCACCGTGATGATGATGAGAGAGAGAGAGACACGCAAACTCCAAATATACAGCAGCAGGCGTCAGGGTCGGGATCGAACCCACGACCTCCTATATACCAGGCGAGGTATTTAACTTCTCCTAGCCATCGTGATGATGATGATGAGAGAGAGAGACACGCAAACTAAAAATATACAGCAGCAGGCGTCAGGGTCAGGATCGAACCCACGATCCCCTGTACACCAGGCGAGGTAGTTAACATCTCCTAGCCACCGTGATGATGATGAGAGAGAGAGAGACACGCAAACTCCAAATATACAGCAGCAGGCGTCAGGGTCAGGATCGAACCCACGATCCCCTGTACACCAGGCGAGGTAGTCAACATCTCCTGGCCACCGTGGCGCCCCTGTTTGCCACCTGCTGCAGAGGTTCACGATTCGAATCCGGCAGGCCACCCTGGTTAATGCTGCGGTGGGTTGAGTGCCGTTAACGGCGGAAACACCACGTGCGATCGGCTTCACGACGGACGTTAAAGATCCCCCTGGCATCGTTCGCAAGAGGAGTGAGGCAGTTGTGCTTACCGGTGTCACGGGCAACATTGTTGGCACGTTTGAAAAATTGCACCGCAATTGACTCGGTTGGAATCCACTCACCAATCGTCGCCCCCCAAGCGTCGCGAGATTTAGTGAGTGAAGATAGTCCCAGTTCTTGGTTCTAACACTGTGGGTGCAGGCAGACCCAGTCCCTGGTTCTAACACTGTGGGTGCAGGCAGACCCAGTCCCTGGTTCTAACACAACGGGCAGCAGGTAACACAGTGAGTGCAAGTGTAGTGACATAAGAAGGGAGGGGCTGCTGGGGGCTCTGGGACCCTGAGCGGCCCAGGCGCTTGGGCCCCTTGGCACCGGGCGCTGGGTTCCCAGACGCTTAAGCCCCTTGGCGCCACCAACGGGGGGGCTGTGTGTGCTCTGTGGGATATCTGGGGGCGCACACAGCCCCACCCCTCGTTGGGGACTGGGCATAAAAGGGGAGCTCCCTGGACGATCAGGGCCAGTCGTGACCCAAGACCCAAGACCAGCCATCTGAGGACCCTAGGACGCTGTGAGGGTCAGTGGTGGGACTCTAGAACTCCCGGCTCTACGTCCTTGTGAGGGCGAGTTCCAGAGCGTAGCCAGAGTAGTGTATCTAGGCTGTGTACCTAGGCTGTGTACCTAGGCTGTGTACCTAGGCTGTAACAGAGTATCAGGACTGTTGGAGTGTTGTTGGATTGTAATAAAGAAGTTACCTCTACAAGTGTCTCCGGAACCCATTGCACAGGTAACACACAACACACAGCGGAGCGCCAGGCAGAGCCTCCCCTCCCCACCTGCAGTCGGACGAGGCGGTGGCGCCGGCGCTCTCCTTGCGTAGACGCGCCAGCGTGGCGCCACCCTCCAGCTGCAGGCCCACGAGGCGCGCGTCCTGCAGCGCCGCGCGCATCATGCGGCCCTGCCTCTCCCGCTCGGCCGCCGCCTCCTGCGCCGCATGTCGGGAGGAGAGTGGGGGAGACCCGGCGAGAGGTGGTGGGTGGTGGTGGTGGGGGTGGCGGTGGGGTGGTGGGGGGGGGACGATGGGGGGGGGGTGACACCGCGGCTCGCGCGGCCGATTTCTTTTTTACGCCGGAACTTTTTCCCCGTTGGAGTTCGTTACCGAATCACGAAAATACGAACCGATAAAATATTCACGGCGAGCGAGTGGGGCGAGCAAGTGGGGTGAGCGAGCGAGTGGGGCGAGCGAGTGGGGCGAGCGAGCGAGTGGGGCGAGCGAGTGGGGTGAGCGAGCGAGTGGGGTGAGCGTGTGGGGTGAGCCAGTGGGGTGAGCGAGTGAGGTGAGCGAGTGGGGCGAGCGAGTGGGACGAGCGAGTGGGGTGAGCGAGCGAGCGAGCGAACGAGCGAGTGGGGCGAGCGAGCGAGTGGGGCGAGCGGGCGAGTGGGGCGAGCGAGTGGGGTGAGCGAGCGAGTGGGGCGAGCGAGTGGGGCGAGCAAGTGGGGTGAGCGAGCGAGCGGGCGTCGGGCGCGCAAACCTCCTCGGACTGTGGCGCTGGAGCGGAGCGGAGCGCCTCCACGGAGCTGTGCAGGAACCGCGTCGCCTCTTCACATTCGCGCACAAACGGCTCCAGCCTCTGCGAGGAAACACGTCACCCGGCCCACCGCACCCCCCCCAAACACGGGGTTAATGCATCCTTCATTCACGATCGTGGTTTTTGTTGTTGTTGCTCCGCTCGTTCATCCAAATCTCAAGACTCTTATTCAGGAAGATGCAATGTTGCTGCCGCTGCTTCTGCTGAGTGTCATCGCTGTCGAGTATTTTGCAGGTCATGTTTACAAAGACGGTCACCGCTTCAGATGCGCTTCTGCGGCCGTCTGGAACGCTCTGCCTTACGATATTAGGAAGCCGCTGGAGCTACGCACTTTTAAATCATCGTCTAGAATGACAAACACATTTCTCGAGAAATGCTTTTTCAGCACACCGGTGTGTTGGAGAGTAAACCCACTGTAAATGTTGTGGTTTTACTCTCCAAAACCCATTTGCGACCTCTGCCGCACGGGGAGAGAGCTGACAGAGAAGAGAGAGAAGTACGGGGAGAGAGAAGACACATAGACCTGTGCGGTGAGAGAGAGAGAGCGAGAGTTGAGCAGCCCTCACCCTGCGAAAGCGCAGCCAGTCCGAGTGGCTGTACGGGAAGGATCCCGCGAGCTCGCGGGGAAGCTGTCCGCACTCCACGTGCTTGTGCAGCGACCGCAACGAAGTCACCACCTCGTACTGCAAGCATCGCCCGCCACGGACAGGAACAAGACAGCAATCATACGGCCGTTCGCCAACTAGTGGCGGGGGCGTCACACAACCGGCGCGTGTGCCAGGCTAGGTGCACCCTAGCCTGTCTCTGGGGCCTTCTTTATGGCCTCGAACGCCAAATGGCGAACAGCACAAAGACGATGCGGGTATCAGAGCATTTATAGCACGGGATGAGCAGCTATTTCATCAGTTTCAAAGACGATGCTTTATAATTATCAGAGCATCTTTGTTTGCGTGTTCACCACAAGTATGTGTGGTCAATGCAGTACTTGGTTCCTTGCGAAAGGTTTTTCTTTGGTGTTCGAACATATCAAAAAGCACCTGTTTTATTTCCAGAAAGGGTAAACCCTTTTTTTGTTATTGATTTGAGGCTTTCGTGACTGCAGGAATCCATACTCTTTGGTTCTTTCGGTAAAGTCACGTAGGTAGAAAAATAAAATAAAATAAAAGAGAAAAAACGTCGTGATATTATATTTTTTATTTTATTTTTCTACCTACGTGACTTTACCGAAAGAACCAAAGAGTACCCATTCTTCTTTTTCATACTTTGATGCTGGCAAATAAGGTCCCATGATAAGAGCCTTATGGATTCCTCCTGTACAAATAGATATTCTGATTCTGATTCTCTGCGCGGCACGAGTATAATGGGATTATTTTGTTAATCCCATTATACTCGTATGTTGTATGGGTTTTTAGTTTTAGCTATGGGAGGGAACCAGAAAACCCGGAGAAAAAACATTCGGAGAGAACTTCACACAAAGGCAGCCAGGTAGGGAAACAAACCTCTCTGTCTACTGGACATCAATGGAACAAGTATAACCCATAAAAACAAAGTTTTTCACTATAAATCCTTTATATGCGTGGCGGCTAGAGTCCTCTCGTCCTCTGGCTTGAGATGGCTGCCACCTATGGGTCAGATGATTGCCTGCCACCATTAAGCAATTGGTAATTAAATATAATATTTTTGTCCTAAAAAGCGTAAAATTTTGGAGAAAAAAAATTTCACGAACATTCATTGTCACGCACAACGAGTCTGTGTGCAAAATGTCAGCTCGATTGGATCACGGGAAGTGGGTTAAAAAGCGACCGAAAGATTTGCACGGTCGTAAGAGCGCAAGCAAGCGAACTTAATATAAAGGATTTAAAAAGAGCATTATAGCTCATCAGATTCTTCCACTACAAATAAACACTCCGATTCTCTGCCAGGCACGGGGTGTATAGCGGTGCGCTGGCCGCCGGCGACCCTAGCGCTACGGGGTGAGAGCGGGGAGAGAGGTTACTAACGTGCACGTTGAGGGCTTCCTCCACGCGGAATCCGGGCTCCCGTTCCACGAAGACGATCACGGCGTGGAGCGCACCGGGCACGGCCTCCTGGGGGACAGGATCGGGATTGTGGCAGCAACGGCGAGAGTTTTAGTTTGTGTTTTTATTTGAACAGGTCAAGGGTCAAGGCCCCACTGAGCTACGAAGCAGCTCTTTTTCAGAAGCTACCGGCAAAGTAGCTGGTATCATAAAGGGGACATTTATAAGAAATTTTGATGCTCGAAATGCATGATTCTAAAGACTCGCAGAGACTCATAGAGACCCACACTCACAAAGACCCACAGAGACCAACAGCAACCCACAGATACCAATACTAAAACGAAACTATTTATCATAATATAGGTTTTTGGGTGTTAGATCGCGTTATTTATAAATGTGTCGTAACCCTCCACCACCCGACACGGCCAAACAGTAAAAAAAGTGTCATGTTTTTCAAAGGACAAAATGATTCACTTCTTTAGCCCACCGGTGTGCTGAAGAGAGAATCAACAGCATTTTAAAATGTGAGTACGACGTTTCGCTGGTAATTACAATCAGCTTCATCGGGCAAGAATGGAAAAACGTGACACATTTTTTGCTGATTGGCCGTGTCGGGTGGTGGAGGGTTACGACACATTTATAAATAACGCAATCAGGGTCGGGATCGAACCCATGGCCTTCTGCACACCAGGCGAGGTAGTTAACATCTCCTAGCCACCATGATGATGATGATGATGAGAGAGAGACACGCAAACTCCAAATGTACAGCAGCAGGCGTCAGGGTCGGGATCGCACCCACGACCTCCTGCACACCAGGCGAGGTAGTTAACATCTCACCACTGCAGCGTTTTGATTCACCAGGCGAGAACTCGAAGAGAGAAACTCAAGAGACTAGGACAGAGTCTCATTTGCAAGAGTGGCGTGAGGTATCGGTCTGCCAATAAGGGGCGGAGTGGGGGGGGGGCGTTGATTTCAGCAACGCACGTATAACTTGCGGCGCGTTTTTTTCGAATTTCGCCAAATTTGCCCCGCAACTCCGGCACGCGACGGCCTGCTCTTGCGAAACGACGTCACGGGGGTCGTTAACATCCACCGCGAGCAAAGCAGGCGGCGCGTGGCGTTGCCTCTTGCCGTCGTTGATGCGCGGGCCGCCGCAGCATTAACCGGGGCGGGCGCTGGATTTGAACCGTGTACATCTGCGACGAGGGGCTAGGCCACGTGACACGGCCCCCTCCCGAGGAGAGACCCGCGCCGCTTGCAGGCAAAACGCGCTGCTGCTGCTGCTGCGGCTGCTGCTGCTGCTGCGGCCGCCACTCGCCAAGTTACAAAAAAAAACGAACTCCAGGTCAACGTCAAATCGCGAGTACGCGCCGTACTGCCGCTATCGTGCTTATATAGCGCAAGGCCGCCACGAAGGAATGCGCCGCTGTGTTTCGCACGGACGCATTCTGCGGAGTTTTCGCAGGTTGCGGGGGTGGGGGGGTGATGGCTGCCTCTGCTGCTGCTGCTGCTGCTGCTGCGTAAATATATAAAATCCCAGTGGAGTCATTTGCAGTGTAAAAATTTTCGAATAGTTGTTTCCATGATGTACCGTCATCCTAATAATAATTGAGTGCATTGTTATTGGCGCGATCGTTCTGAAAGCGACGATCTCCGCAGGAGTTTCACAGGAGGCGATGTTGTTGCTGCTGCTGCTGCTGCGTGCGATACCGAACAAGCAAAATTCGTGGTGTCTTTAGAAATTTGCGCGCAAATTCGCGGTGAGTCGCGTCGGGGGGTGATCGTTCCCGTCCCACTCACTGTGGCCGCCGGGCTGCTGTCTGCACAAACCCGGCGACGCGAGTTCGATTCCCGCTCACGGCCAACGCCGGTGACGATTATCTGAACCGGTCCTGGGCCCTCCCCTAGGTCGACTCAGCCTCAAGTGAGCACCTGGCGCGGTGTGTAAACATCGCCAGCGGGGAGACAAAGGCGGCCGGGCGCGGTGTTGGCCACCCACCCCCTCGTGTGCCGTGCCGGCCTTCATAGGTGCTGCTCACTAACAGCACTTGCCCCAACAGTCTGTTACAGGCTACACGGTGGATGTTTTATCTTTGTTATCTGCACAGCAGCCAGGCTCTGGAGTTCCCTGCCCTTGGAGGAGAGGGGGAGCTCGCTGGTCGGCTGAAGATCCTACCACCTAAATTTCTTCACCTGAGGACGGCTGCTTGCGTTGTGGCCGAAACGTCGTGAGAATTATTTTATTATGTTTTATTTTATTATTTCCATTCTACGTGACTTTACCGAAAGAACCAAGAAGATGAATCCTACCACCTGTTTAACAAGGCCTCTCCTATCTCTTTCTCTCTCGAGTTCTCTCTCCGTCTCACTTGAGTCTCTCTCTCTCCTCGGTTGCGACTCACTTATCCCGTCCCCCGTCCCCCTTTTACTTGACGCCCGGAGTTCTGAGATCCATTGTTTGAGGGTGTCTTATACATCGAAATGATTCGTATTATTAAGCTTGATCCAATCGGTGCGAAAACTGCAGCACGTGTGTTTTGCAACGCGAGCTGATGGCTGGCAGCTAAGATACAAATGCGCGCACACACGCACAAAGACAAAGACCCCCTGTATAGCCTGAACATCATGTAGGGGCAAGTGCTGTTAGTGAGCACCTATGAAGGCCGGCACAGCACACTAAGGGGTGGGTGGCCAACACCATTTTGAGGCTGAGTCGATCTAGCGGAGGCCCAGAACCTGCTTCAGATAATCATCACCGGTGTTGGCCGTGAGCGGGAATCGAACTCGGGTCTCCGGGTTCATAGCGCAGCGGAACACTACCGCTCCCCACACACACACACACGCGCACACCACGTGTGCGCACACACGCGCACACACGCGCACACAAAGATCCCCCATATAGCCTTAACAGAATGTAGGGGCTGTTTGCAAGCACCTATGGAGGCCAGCACGGCACACGAGGGGGTGGGTGGCCAGCACCACGCCCGACCGCCCTTGTCTCCTAAGTGGCGATGTTTACACACTGCGCCAGGTACTCATTTGAGGCTGAGTCGACCTCGGGGAGGCCCAGGAGGGGTTCAGATAATCGTCGCTGGTTTTGGCCGTGAGCGGGAATCGAACTTAGGTCGCCGGGTTCATAGCGCAGCGCACTAACCGCTGTTCCACCACGCGCACACACACACGTGCACACACATGCACACACACGCGCACACACGCACATACACGCACACACACACGCGCACACAAAGACAAAGATCCCCCGTATAGCCTTAACAGACTGTAGGGGCAAGTGCTGTTAGCGAGCACCTATGAAGGCCGGAACGGCACACGAGGGGGTGGGTGGCCAGCACCACGCCCGACCGCCTTTGTCTCGCCAGTGGCGATGTTTACACACCGCACCAGGTACTCATTTAAGGCTGAGTCGACCTAGGGGAAGCCCAGGACCGGTTCAGATAATCGTCACTGGTTTTGGCCGTGAGCGGAAATCGAAATTGGGTCTCCGGGTTCATAGCGCAGCGCGCTAACCGCTGTTCCACCACGCGCACACACACACGTGCACACACATGCACACACACGCGCACACACGCACATACACGCACACACACACGCGCACACACGCGCACACACACACGTGCACACACATGCACACACACGCGCACACACGCACATACACGCACACACACGCGCGCACACACGCGCACACACACACGCGCATCCGATAAGCAAAAACATTGGGAGGGGGACTGGTCTGAAGCGGTGTGGACGCAGAGACCCGAGAGGGCAGCAGAGTTTATTTTTGGTTTCGGCGAGCCACCGGGAGAGAGATTATCTCTCCATTAACTCGGCAACGAGAGCCGGGCTCACCCCTCCCTCTCCGCATGCCTCACACTCAACAAAGACAAAGATCCCTCCAGTATAGCCTCAACAGACTGCTGGGGCAAGTGCCGTTAACGAGCAGCAGCACCTGTAAAGGCCGGCACGGCACACGAGGGGGGTGGGTGGCCAGCACCACGCCCGGCCATCATCGTCTCCCTAGGTGGCAATGTTTACACACGTCGTACTATGTACTCAATTGAGGCCGAGTCGACCTAGTGGAGGCCCGGGACCAGTTCAGATAATCGTGACAGGTGTTGGTGAGGTCGCAACCGGGTACCCAATACCCGTACCCTACCCGATACCCGGCTACCCGTACCCGGCCGGGTACGGGTAGCCGTTTGCGACCCTGGTGCGGCCGGGTACGGGTACGGGTAGGCCGTGAGTCACTGGTGAGTAACTGTTTGTCACTCATTTCCCAAAGTCTTGTCTCTTCTCACAATTCAAGTTCCTAGAATCAACCCACCCGCGCCTGCAACATGGCTTCATCCCAGAGGTCGCAATCGGGTACCTGATACCCATACCGGCCGGTTACGGGTAGGGTACGGGTACAGCCGGGTACGGGTACGGGTACCCGTTTGCGACCCTGGTGCGGCCGGGTACGGGTACGGGTAAGGAATCAAAACCCGTTTGCGACCTCTGGTTGGTGGCCATGAGCGGCGATGGAACTCGTGTCGCCAGGTTCGTAGCGCAGCGCCCCAAACGCGACACTCCGGCGCTCCCCGCACTAAACAGCAAAAAGAGGCAGCAGCATTGCCGATGGCAGGGCCCGAATAGACGCGGAAATTGCCCCGATAAACGTCATACAATTATTATCTATATATGTATAAAAGGGAAATGTGTGAATATGTGTGTCTGTTAGAAATATTTAGCATACTTCCCGACATGCAACAAACTTAAAAATTGCCATGTGGCTAGCTGTCCATACTGTACACAATGCAAAACGTATAAAAATAGACTTTTGTATTTGGGGGGGGGGCGCATTAATAGAGATATTTTGCACGACAAATGAGCGGTGACGTCACATCTGTGATGTCACCGCATGCGGCAGCGTCACGCAGTGTGCCTGCTGACGTCACACATCCCCCACCCCCCACCCCCCACCCTCCGCGTAGGGCCGTGTGTTAATCCAAGACAAGAATCCAAGTCTCGGGCGAAGCCAGGTAAGTCAAGCTAGTGATTAATACGTGCAACAA